ATATATATATATATATATATATATATATATATATATATATATATATATATATATATATATATATATATATATATATATATTGAAATTGATTATAAAAGAAATAAACACAAACCGAACGAATCGAACAGCCTTGACCCTCGAGTTCGATCACCCTTGAACCAAGTGAAGTTTCAACTGAAGAACTGAGTACCAAGATAATGAAAATCAAAGAAAGGCAGTGTACTGCATAAATGTCATGTGTCTTACAAATGATCGGGCCCCCTTTATATAGTAGGGGAGTCCTACCCTTGATAAAATTCTAAATACAGTAAGAAATCTCCTGAGTAGCTAATTAATCGGCCTCTTATTGATACGTGCCGAGATTTTCGCCGTGATCCTCGCCCGATTGCGGATATTTTGGCTTTCCGTTATTTGGCTCGGTAAATTTCCCGGACCTCGCTCGATCTTTTTCTCGCTCGATCTCGATCTTGGCCGATTTCAATCTTGATCGGTCTCCGGGTCACGAGCTCGGCAATCTAACTTTGCTTCATGGTTCGATATAACACGATGTTGAACCTTGGCCTATCATGTTCCAGTATCGATCAGTCATACGAAAGAGCAAGCCCGATTTTGACCGTATACAAAATTTTATTCTTGAAACTTATTTTTCCTTCGGACTTTGTGTTGGCAATCAGACCTTTCCTTTAACTTTTTACTATAGTCGTTTTATAAATAGAGACGTTAATTTTGCTCTTTAGATTATCGACTTCCTCTTTTTGTATATTCGTTTAATTAGTATCATTTATACTTGGTATACTTTCCTTGTCATCTATATTACTTGGAATAGTATTTATGGATTCAAAAGTAAATAAGAAGTAATCAAGCACATTTATTTACAAATTTGAACAACGAAAGAATTTTAAGTAACACAAAAAATTCAAGTAAAATGATAAGAAGAAAAATTTATTCCTAATCAAAAAATTTATCAATTCCAATCGAAGTTCGGAAATTCATTTACAAAATTGAAAATGAAAAGAATGGGGCTCAATAGTAGTTGTTTAAAGCTTTACCATAATAAGTACTCCTTCTGCTTTAATTTATGTAAACCTTTTCGCTAAATAAAATCAACCAGACTTAAAAGTTAAAACACATGGACATTTTCATTGAAGGAGAAGGCTAACACGTTTTAATTAAGAGCCCGTTTGGCCATGAAATTTTTTTCACTTTTTTTTACGAAAAAATTTAATTTTCTTGCAAAATCAGTGTTTGGCCATAAAATTTTTATGTTCACTTGAAGATGAATTTTAGAATTTTTCGGAAATTTGAAAAACTCCAAAAAAATGTTTTTCAAAATTTTCACTCAAATTACTCACAAAAATTCAAAAACAATCCAAAAATATATATCCGAACACAATTCTAATTTTCGAATACCATTTTCACTTGAAATCTTTTCCCCACTTTTTTCTAGAATTTTACAATTCTTATGTCCAATTGCCCACTAAGTTGCTAGAAGGATCTATTGTGACCATTTATGACAGGACAAGGACGAAAATTCTCTACCAAGTATTTTCCACTTTAGGAAATTGCTCACATAGTTACATATTTTTTACATGTTGATTTTTTTTAATTATATATAGCTCGTAAATCATAGACAAAATTAGGATTTAAATTTGATGAATTCGATCAATAACGTTCTTATCACTTAACTCATTATGCTTCCTAAAAGCCTATGTGACTTTTGTGGTAAGGAAAGAAAGTGGACCAAGGACTTGAACATTATGGTTCGAGTTTGGGATTTTATCAAAACCTAGTCGATTTGTTGGGTTTGAAACCCATTATTTGCAGAGGAGGAGCCATGTTTTGAAACTTACGGATTCAGGATTGTAATCGTTTTAAATTATTGAGTTCTAAATTAATCATTTATACATATTCAATAGATTTTTAAGACAAATACATGCTTCAAACCAAAACTATTGGGTTCGGGCGAACCCGCTCCCGGCACTCTAGCTCCACTGCTGATTATTTGTACTTATTCATACGGATTTTTAACACATATACAGGGTCCGAGCCAAAGTTACCTCCTCGAACTGGACAATGATGAAACCTTTTGCTCATGGTCAAGTACATATCAGACTATACTACTTAGGCGAAATTGCATGGTGGTTTCCTCAAGTATTGGACTGATTTGCTACAAATGATGACTTGTTGATCACGCATCTGAATTTCTGCCTACATATAAAAATACCCTATATATACTTTGGGATTTTTCATCTGTTTCCTTGCTTTGTTGGTTTTTTTGCATAATCCCTGGAGTTTTTTGCTTTCACCAAGGTACTAATTGGTTACTATAATTGTGTAAACAATATTTTAACTTTTTGAGAAACCATGGGAATTCTTTTTCTTTCCCTTTTAGTCTTCAAGCTTTCTATTTATAGCTTTCAAGTTTAATGCAAATTGAACACTCTCTGGTTCCTAGGTTTTGTCGTATAATGACAAGAATTTAAGTTACCACATAAAGATTTGCATGGAATTATCTTATAAGCGACGTGATTGTATATATAAGTATTTTTTACTGTCAGTATGTAGAACTTAAACTCTCGTGACTTATGTTGCGCGGATTCTCCAAAATACTGCCGCACCCGTGTCGGATCCTCCAAAAATACACTACTTTTGCAGGATTCGGCTCGTATCCAGCGACATATTCGGAGAGTCTAAGCAACATAGCTCATGACAAAGCATGGATGCTAGGTGAACTAGTAAATAATGGCGAGTCTTCGAATTATTATTTTGCCTTATTATCAACCTAAAACCATACATTTTGATTGAGTAGAACCAGATGGAGTTAGTTGTTAAAGGGTGTAAAGAGGGTAATATTAAAATAGATAAAAAAAAATTTAAAGAAAAAACTTTCTTCTAATTGTTTTCACCTTTCTGCTATGTAGAGCTCAAGAACTTGTGAACAACATGGGAATCAAAGTTTTACTTGCAGCAATATTAATATGGGATTTCATAACCTGTGCTTTTGGCTTCAATGTATCTGCTGATAATATGATAAGGATTGGATTAAAGCGACGACCGTTGGATCTTTATAGCGTAAAGGGTGCAAGAATCTACGCTAAAGATCATCATAAAAGAGGTTCAAATAGGAACTTTGGTGCACTTAAAGATGAAATAGTTTATCTGAAGAACTATATGGATGTTCAGTATTTCGCGGAGATTGGTATCGGTTCACCTCCTCAGAAATTCGCTGTTGTGTTTGATACTGGCAGTTCCAATCTTTGGATCCCGTCTTCGAAATGTATCTTCTCTGTAAGTCTTATGTTCATACTTTTTGGTGCAGATTGCGTATTATCTTCGATTTATGTTCATACTTTTTGGTGCAGAGTGCATGTTATCTTCGTTTTATGTTCATACTTTTTGGTGCAGAGTGCATGTTATCTTCGTTTTATGTTCATACTTTTTGGTGCAGATTGTATGTTATCTTCGTTTTATGTTCATACTTTTTGGTGCAGATTGCATGTTATCTTCGTTCCAGATACAGATCGAGACTTTCTACTACATACACAAAAATTGGTAGTTAACCAATGGACTTGAAAAACTTCTATTTTTGATTGAATGTCATGTGATTTCAATGAAATCTTAATAACATGTTTACGTTTTCGCCTTTTACTATAGGAAAATCTTGCAAAATCCCTTTTGGAACAAGATCAGTGCGCGGATTCTTCAGCCAAGACAATACTAAAGTTGGAAATGCTGTTATAAAGCAGCAGGTGCAATCTTAATTCTTTGCAGCTGAAGTTTTACATATATTTTCAACGTTATTGTTGAAATAAGAATCTGTCAGGTTTTTACTGAGGTAACGCGCGAAGGATTTTTCACATTCTTGCGTGCACGGTATGATGGGGTACTAGGACTAGGATTTCAGGATGTTGCTGCTGGACGAGTAACGCCAGTATGGTAAATATATCCATCCGATCATAGCTAGATTACTTACTTTTTCACATAATATCTACTGCTTGTTTAATTATGTCTGGCTCAAGCATGCATCTCTAACTGATAACTGAATCGCGAATGGAAAACTATACAGTATAACCGCTCCCAAATATAATAATTGACAAAATGTATACACATAATATACAATTTAGCACTATAATTGCAGGTATAATATGTTGCTTCAGCGTATAGTTACTAAGCCAATCTTCTCGTTATGGCTTAATCGAGATCCTAAATCTAGTTTCGGGGGTGAAATTCTATTTGGAGGCGTGGATTCGACTCATTTCAGGGGTCAACATACTTATGTTCCCGTTGCTCAAAATGGTTACTGGGAGGTAATTAAACTGTGTAGAGTATACATTATATTCTTGTGTCTAGAGTTTTCGTCTTATGATACTTAATCTCGTGATGATACTGAGTTTGTTATATATTTCAGATTGAAATAGGTGATCTTTTTATTGGTAACAATTCAACAGGTAATATGTTCATTCACTTCATTTCCAAAACAGACTATTGAGCAACTGTTGTTTTTCTGTTTTTTCCTTGGCGATATACAAAGATTATACATAGTTATACATATATTATACATGAATTATACATTCGCTGGCTATTTATAATTGAAGAATTTAGGCTGGCGGCAACTTGAGTTAATTCTTCTTTTTCGTTTCACAGGTCTTTGCAGAGGTGGCTGTCCGGCTATTGTGGATACTGGGACGTCATTTCTTGCTGGTCCGACTGTATGTATTTCGACGATTGCTCCCTTTTTCTTCGTATTTCGCTATGGTTTTTTTACTACTTTTCTCAATAATCTATGTATACTAAATTTCAGACGATTTTGACTCAAATAAATCATGCTATTGGAGCAGAAGGAGTTGTTAGTATGGAATGTAAAACTGTTTTCTCAAATTATGGGAATTTGATTTGGGAAAACTTAATATCAGGGGTAAGTTCTTTTCCACTTCTCGTTGCTTTTATATACATACATTGTATGAGTCTGGAAAGGGAGTCTTGGTGTGACTGATAAAGTTACTGCCATGCATGTAATCAGGAGGTCACAGGTTCGAGCCGTGAAAACAGTCTCCTGCAGAAATGCAGGGTAAGGCTTGATGCACCGGGCTGCCCTTAATATCGTATGCGTCTAATGCTTTAACATCTCACTCTTTGTTCCTGCAGTTACAACCTGAAAGAATTTGTCACAGAATTGGCATATGTAAACATAACGTCTCGTTGGATGAAAATGTACACAGCTACGAGAAGAAAATGATGGTTAGAAATTCAAAATTGGAGGAACTAACAAATGATGAGAGTGCTTTATGTTCTTTCTGTGAGATGACAGTTTTCTGGATGCAAGTAGAATTTAGAAAAGAGAGAACAAAGGCAAAAGCATTTGAATATGTTAATCAGGTAAAGACTTTTCTACCACTAGACTATTGGTATATTTTGGTTTAACACTTTCTTTTAATTTTTTGTACTCTTTAATTGCATTTTCGCGCGAATCTAAAATTATCGATCGAAGTTAGTCGGTTTTTTTAAAATGACCGACCGATTTCGGTCGGTTATTTAATATTATTTTAACTTATTTTATATGAAAAACCGATCGATTTCGGTCGGTTTCTTAAAAAGTGAATTTCCCGTGATGCTAAAATAGTTTCCCGCATTTTTGCGCAAAAAAAAAAAACGATTCGGTCGGTTTCGTGAAAAAAAAAATTAAAAAATAAAATATTTTGAAAAACCCACAGAACCGACCGAAGTCGATCGGTTGGCCGCGGTCGGTTTTGGCCGAATTTCTAGTAGTGAGTCTTGGAGCAACGGTAAAGTTGTCTTCATGTGACTTATAGGTCATGGGTTTGAGCCGTGGAAGTAACCATCAATGCTTGCATTAGGTTAGGTTGTTTATATCACACCCCTTAGGATGCGGCCCTTCCCCGTACCTTGCATGAATGCGGGATGCCTTCTGCACTGGTCTGTCTTTTTAAATAAAGTTATTTTAATGCGACCTATAGGTCACGGATTCGAGCCGTACAAACAGACATTAATGCTTGTAGTATGCTGTCTATATTACACCCCTTAGGGTATGACCCTTCCCTGGACCCTGCGTGAATGCAGGATGTCTTGCGCACCAGGTTGCCCATTTAACGATTAGCTATCAAAATCTTCACTAATTCAATTTAGAGATCAATACGATGTTTTCTTATTGCACTAGCCATTTAAGTACTTTCTTTAGCTCTTTATGATATAATACACAAGTGAATTTACCTTACTACATTACTTAAGCAGTCAAACTACGTCACATAAAATGAGGTGCAGAGAGTAAGAAATATCTATACTTGTATCTAATGCCTCTTTATTTTGTGTTGAAGCTGTGTGAGAAGCTTCCAGATCCGAGAGGAAAATCATTTATCAACTGTGATGTCTTTTCCCTGCCACATATTACAATTACCATTGGGAATAAATCTTTCCCCCTTTCTCCAGATCAAGTAAGTTGTTACTATTAGAGGCGGAGGCGGAATTTAAAGTTTATGGGTTCTGAACTTGTTATTGAATCCATAACTCGTTTTGTTATTGCATTCGTCTGAACCTGTCAACTAATATTCTCCCTCCGCCCCTGGTTACAATCCGCACTTAACGTGCTACTACAATTGGGCTTAACATGCTATTACATGTTGTACAAGCACTTTGATTTATTCTTAGACGTCTATTTTCTGTTCTTCGTGGACTAACTTTCTGCGTATATTTTGGTAATAGTATGTTATCAGAATCGAAAACAGTCATGGTGCTCGTTGTGTTAGTGGATTTACAGCATTGGATGTGCATCCACGACGTCCCCTCTGGTAAAAAAAAAATTGTGTGGCGCGAGTTTATCTGCATATTTTGACACCTTATCAGATCACTTGTACATGAAATAGACAAATGATTTTCAAAATTCTTGATTGCAGGGTTCTTGGAGATGTATTCTTAAGAGCATATCACACTGTTTTTGACTTTGGTAATCTACAAGTTGGATTCGCGGAAAGTGCTTAGATCAAAATTTCATAAATTGCTTGGTTTTCGTCTTAGTCCGGCCCTTCCCCGGACCCTACACATAATAAGAGCTTAGTGTACCAGGCTGTCACTTTTCTTGGTTTTCGTCGTAGATGTTGTCACATAAGAGTAAGCTCTGCAGGTTTGCTTGGGGAAAGATTGGCAATTTAGAAGCATAAACTCTTAAGGAATTTGTTATAGATGTTTGCTTTTTGCTTTTTCAGTAGTTGGAATAATGCATAAAGAGGTTGTGTATAAAATTGTTTTAGTAATGAATATATTCGTAGCCCTGCTCCGAATATGTTGAAGTCTCCATCTACGATCAGATCCTTTCTAAATTCTTTTACGATCGCTAGTCAAAGAGAATTTTTTCCTGTATTATAGCGACAAGTCTATTATTGAGTTTCATAATTAGAGTAAACGAACCACTATATCTTACTATTAGGGATGGCAATTGGGGCGGGGCAGGGCCGGGCAACCTTTGACCCACTAAGATTTTGACATGCCCTGCCCTGCCCCGTTTAACCTTGTTCTAAAATTTTGCCCTGCCCTACCTTATTAAGCCCTGCCCCGCCCTGCCCCGTTTAGATTCATTTTCATTTTTTTTTATTTTCCAGTAAATATTTTGTCTTGAAGATTTTTTCTTTTCGAGAAACATGTGATTACCTCTTCTTATTTATTTTTTTTCTCCAAAACCGTTTAATATAACTTATACACACTAGCTATTTTTTAAACTATCAGTGTATTTTTACATAGCAGGTCACTTACTATATTTTTTTGGTTGTAAAATTAGAATAACTATAGACAATTAACTCCATTAAAAGTCATAATCTTAGCAAGATGGTGTAAAAACACTACTGCTATGAGACACCAAAAAATAAATAAGTTGTCTCTAGTAACTTGAGCATATGGATCGGATGGTATGCACAATATGAGCTTTGGTACTTCTTGCCGTAAAATTGACATGCCTGCTTAAAAAGAAAAGATTTAAAAAAAAAAAGAGTTATCCTTTAAAGGTATTATCCCAAATTTGTGTCCGTTACATCCTCTAGCTACTTCAATATCAATTTATGAAAGAAAAGAAGACATGGACAATAAAGTAAGCCAGGGGCTGAACTACAACCTGCCCTGCCCCATTAAATTTTTTCAAAAATATAGTTTTGCCCCGCCCCGCCCCGCCCTGCCCCATTTACATATTTCCCTACCCTGCCCCGTTTACTGTTTGCCCTGCCCCGCCCCGCCCCGCCCCAATTGCCATCCCTACTTACTAACGTTGTTTGAATTGCCTAAGCAAAAGGATGATTTTTAAAAATAGCCAGATTTACAACTGGTCGTTCAAAATAGTCCAATTTCAAAAGTAATCGAAATTTAGTCACTTTTTATGTAAAGATAAATCTGAGCGAAAACACTGTTCAAAACCCGGAAAATACTCCAGTATATTATGCTGGAGTTCCAACATAAGTATACTTGAACTCCAACATATTATACTCGAGTTCCAGGATAGTATGCTGGAACTCCAGCATAATATGATGGAGTTCTAGCATAATTACACTAGAACTCCAGCATAATATACTGGAGTTCCAGTAAGTATAATGGTCCAGTATAATATACCGGAGTTCATACACAAGTGCACCGAACTCCAGTATATTATGCTGGACCGGTCTCTATTGCAGCAAAACAGTGGCTATTTTTCATTGACTTGGTAAACATTGGCTATTTTTGATTGACCAGTCTGAAAACTGACTATACCGTGAAATTTTGACAAGCAAAAGCTACATCTATTTTTAAACACAACTATAATGTTAAATTATCACATGTAACTATGTCTAATTATTATTCGTAGATGCTGTTCAATTATTACAAACTTGAATCACCTGTACAACCTGCATCAATTATATTTGTTCGCGCAATGAATACAACCAAGGCGATATACAGAAAAATAGAATGCTCCCATTGAAAGTCGGAATCAAGACTTTCGCTTATTAAGCACGTGCTCTAACCAACTGAGTCACCAGAGTTTGTTACTCTATTGTTTTAGTTCAAAATAATTGATCTATTTTTTCAATATTACATGTGAATTTGCTATAAAATTCAAATATAATTTAAAATTTTTTGAAAGTATATGTTAAAATGGTAAATACAGTGTAGGTATAAAATGGTACAAATAGTAATTTTTGAAAGTCTTGCTATAAAATACGAAATATATTTACTGTGTCACGTAATTTTTCCTTTATTTTTCTTTCTTTACTTAGGTCTAATGATCTTTTTAATTTTTTTTCTTCTCAAATGTCACTATTTAAACCGGGGCGCCACCCAGATTACTCTCCCGCGCAAGTACCCAAAATGTGTGGGCCCCATTTCCACGCTGGCGATCCGCGTGCCCATCACTCTAACCAATCAGCACAAATCATTTCTTCTTATATATACATAGCCCTACCTCCTTTTCCATCTCAAACCAAAGGCAAATAAGCAAGCAGCAGTAGAAATCTCACCTCACTTTCCACACAAATCGAGAGCTAGGGTTAGGGTTTTTTGTTTCATCTAAAAATGACTTCTGATGGAGGATCGGGTAAGGGCAAGGGCGGCGCAGGTAGAGGAAAACCTAAGGCATCAAAATCGGTGTCTCGGTCTTCAAAAGCGGGGCTCCAATTCCCCGTTGGTAGGATCGCTCGTTTCCTTAAGGCTGGAAAGTATGCTGAACGTGTTGGTGCTGGTGCGCCAGTTTACCTATCTGCTGTCCTTGAATACCTAGCAGCTGAGGTAATTTTATTTTGTGAATTTTTTGCTTCATTTGCTCGATTGAATTTGAATTTAATTGATTTGATTTCGATCTCATTTGTATGTCGGTTTTAATTTTTTCAGGGATATAAATTCTAATTTTGGCCTGTTTAATTGTCGCGTTTGCAAATTTTAGCTTCAACTAATTATAGTTTGTGTTTCTAGTAACTTTACCTTTCTGCTGTCCTCGAATACCTTGCCGCTGAGTTAATTTTTGTGATCTTTTACTTTTTGTCGATTGAATTTGAATTTAATTGATTTGATATGTTGATGTTGGTTTTAATTTTGTTAGGGATAATTCCACCCATGGTTCCTCAGTTATTAATAAATTCTGATTTTGGTCTGTGTAATAGTCGCTAAGCTAATTTAAACTTCACTTAATTAAAATGTGTGTTTCTAGTCACTTTATACACGGAATATGTTATATTTAAACTACTTTTACTACTATACATATGCTCAATTATGCAACAAGTTCTGGTTTTGGTACTTGTAATAGTTGCCTAAGCATTTTATTCTTCAATTAATTAAAATGTGTGTTTCAGTCCCTTTATATCGCAAATATGTGATGTTTGTATTATTTTTGGAATTAAACTATGTTAAAACATGTAGAAACAATTTGAATTCAACATTTTAATGGTGTAGCACCTAATAATTTTTTATGGTTGTAAAAATTCACAAGTAGAGGGATCAGAAGTGCATATATTAATTAATTAGAGGGAAAATGTGTGTAACCAGAATTCACAGGGACTAAAAGTGCCGATTCACCTTTTTATCCATGTATGCCATGGAGATTATGCCTGTTCCTAATTGGTGGTAATTTTGGTGTATCAGCTTTGTTAATGAGTTAGCACTAGTAGTGTATGCTTAATTCATGTTATTTACTGGATAAAGATGTTTAGTAATGGATTGTGACAAACATTTGAATAGTTGGTAAAGAGGTTTAAGATTATTGAGTTGTAGTTTATTTATTACATTTGCTATGATTCCGGAGTTTTGATTTTTTGACTTGTTAGAATTGTTCAATCTTTGTAATCTAAATTGTCGTAATGTTTTGGATGTAGGTGTTGGAGTTGGCAGGGAATGCAGCAAGGGATAACAAGAAGAATCGAATCGTGCCGAGGCACATTCAGTTGGCTGTGAGGAATGATGAGGAGCTGAGCAAGCTTTTAGGTCAGGTTACAATTGCTAATGGAGGTGTCATGCCCAACATTCACCAGAATCTGTTGCCTAAAAAGGCTGGCTCGGGCAAGGGTGATATTGGCTCTGCATCTCAAGAGTTTTAGATTTGCTCAATTTCTTGTTCTGGGGAAATGATTAAAAGTAAACATAGTTATGTAAAATAGAACTGGCTGTTGTTTTTGATAATACCTTCGAAGAATTCAGTGGCATTGTCAACTTGTAGTTTTGGTAATACATTGTGGAATGTTTTTGTGAATGGAATTGGATTAATTGGTCTGAAGTAGAATTTGAGTTGTATCTTAAGTGTGGACTTGAGATGATGACACTTCAAAAAAATTTGAGTTGGAATTGGATTAATTGCTGTTTGCTGTAGATTGCAGTTTGTTGTGACCATTTTTGTTGCATCTATGTGTTCTTTTGTTAGTATGTTCCGCAGCAAAAGATTTGGCATTTCATTTCCGCAATGGATACATTAAGCTGTCCTGTTCGTAAACAAAGATCTTTGTATAAGCATTGTGTAATCTGATGCCTCGTAAATTCATTTCTATTTCTCTTGTTATTTGTTTGTTATAGCTGCTGATACATGTGAAATATTAAGGGTGTTAGACATGTATTTGATCACTGATTTCAGATGTCGTTTCAATGTAGTTGTGTTTCAGCAGGGAAGAATTTAAGTTCAAGCATACTGCATTTCACCCATAACTCTAAATTGTAATGTGCAACATCAAATTCAAGCATCCCTTTCAGCAATATTGCTTGGTTCAAGACTTTCGTTACTATTCTCCATTGTGTTCTGCAGATAATAATTACCATCAAAGGTTGTGAAGGGGAGACAATTATATTTTCATTCTTAATAGGAGGTTTTGAGTGAGTATTGAGAATGAAATCGTCCTCGATAGTAGAGCCTGAACTTGGATTTGTTTGCTCCAAAGTGAATAAGAAAAGAAAGATAATTGTACTATGCATCTTAGTCCCTCTTTTAGTACGGTGAAAAACGTGATTCAAAATACTAAGAGGTCGTTTGGTACGATGAGTAAGTAAAAAAAAATTCTGAAATAAAAATTTTGTATTGACTTATTTCTTGTTTGGTTACTGTATAGGATTATAATATCAAGAGTGGAATAATAATCCTAGAATAAGGTAGTAAAATTGACAATTATAGGATTAAACAAAATATCAAATAATCAATAAGAAATAATATCAGAATAACTAGTCCCAGTATAACTAATCTCAATACAGTCAAACCTATCTATAACATGTTATAAACAATCATTCTCTATAAAAACCAAGTTCCCTTTAAAGCCAATTTCCAAGCTATGTTATAAAATATATTCTGTATAACAACACTTCGCTATAACAACCAAGACAATCTGAAACAAACAAGGTTGTTATAGAAAGGTTTTGACTGTATAATTGATTCCATCATAACTTGTCTTCGAACCAAACAACCCATAAATGTGATAAATGTGGTTCTTTTGGACACAAGTGACAGATGTTGACACCCAATTTTTCCCTCGTATATTTTTAAATATGTATACGTACTTTCAAAATATTGCACATGCATTTACAAGCATGCACATGTGTTTTTACAATTTTTCTATAATTTTTAAAGACCTTAAATTAATTTATTTTTGCATTTTTAATTATATAAATACTCAAATATTATCCCTCATATTACTTTATGATGATTTAATCGTCTAAATTCGTCATTTATACCCATATAAGTGTTCAAATATTTTAATTGCATTTTTTATAATTATATTTTGTATTTTTAAGACTATAATTGCACATTTTCTAATAATAGACCATATGTATGCATAATTATTTTATCTATACAAAAAATGATATTTTGTATTTTGTAATATCAAGTAATTATTTTAAATTATTTTTATGCATAAATATCATTTTTTTGTCATTTATTGGCTATTTTATAAATTATTTATCAAATTAATTGGGTGTTTAACAAATAGCCTCTGTAGTTTTGTTATAATTTCGGACCTAGTCCAAATTTTACCACAGCCCAATTAAATTTCAGCCCAAATACCCTGACTCATTTTTTTAACCCGCCTAACCCTCAAATCGAATCCTGGCCGTTGATCTCGAGATCAACGGTCCAGGATCAATTGCCTTTTTTAATTACACCAACTACCACCTAACCCTAGTCATTTGTCTAAACCCGCAGCCCCTGTTAGGCGAGCTTTATTAGGAAAAAGCATGCCCTTTGCCAGCACCGTTGGTCTAGACTCATCCCACATTGCTGTCCGAATTTCGTCAAGATCCCTTGTGAGGGCATCCACATCCGGTATACTTGGAAAATTATCAAGGTAGGGAATATGCCTTAAATGAAACGGCATGTGGGACTCGTACACTCTTGGTCTAACGGGAGGTGGAGCACGCTCCCTCGTCAGCTCAGGTTCGACATTCTCTTCCTCCTCCTCATCACCCTCGTCAGGGAAGGGTGTGTCATCTCCAGACTCATCGGCATTATTGTCATAATCAAAATTATCTTCTTGACTCTGCGCATCTGCCAAATCCCGAGTAAATACATCGTCTACGGGCAACCGGGTGAAGTCAGGACAATCAAGTTGCTCGTTTTCACTGCACAAACAATAAAATAATAAGCTACTCAAATTGATATACTTTTCATATAGATATATAACTTCACTTACAAGTCGTAATGTATTGACATTTCATGATGTACATTATCCTATTGGTGATGACTCCCGGATGGACCACCGTAATCCAACACACCAAAACTACGCATATTCCAACTGGGCGTGGGTTCATAACATGTAAAATTAATATCTGAATGGTACCCCCCGTGGAATATGTGAGTGTTAATACAAATTCAATACAACAAAAATAAATATCGTAACACAAAGGAAAATTGAAGTTTACCAGTCGTCTTGTGGATTAGGTAAAGTAGGAGAGAAATTATTTCCTCGCTCCTCATTCTCCCGTGGAGATAAGCTTAGATCCGACCAAACTCTCTCACCCGGAACCTGTTGGGCTAAAACTGCTCCAGAATAACCACCCGATGATTGAGGGTTATCCCTTTGCGCAACATCATTATTGCGAACGTCTTCAACCTTCACGTACATTTCCAACATTTTTATCAAAATAAATTCCAGGTATTCATCCGGAGTCCCCAAAAAATCTCAGAGTTTCATCATCCTCGATGTTAAACTTAGCGTAACAAGTAATCCCTTGCGGAGTCACAAAATACGGATATCTTCCGATTATTTTAAGATTCACCGAACATTTGCTCAACCTCATTTTATTGCATAACAACTATACCAGTCTATCGTACTCCATTGTAAGTGGCAACTTAACATGACTCTGTGGAGATAACCTGTAGCTCGCTGAGTTATTCGCCACCACAACCTCACCCCCCCAATATAATGAAACCCTTACTTTTCGCTCTTCAGACATTATGAAAAAAGCTTGAGAATTTAACAAGAAGCAAAATTTATCACGAAGTTGGAGTATTTCTGAATGATTTTTCTCAAAACCCTTAACGCCTTTAAATAAGGCAATGCCCTATCCGGGGGGTGGAGGGTCAAATTTTTGGAAGTAAAACGCAGTTTAAAAGGGCGTTTTACATATTTGAATTATTGTTATGTTAGTTAAGCGCAAAAGACTTATTGGTGGACCCACAAAACAGGTAAAACGTGGTTACAAAAGGCGTTTTATATATTTTGGTCACTAAGTTTTTTCCCCACCTATTTATGTATTTTGAGTCAATAAAGATACCATTTCGGTTCCAGATTCAGAAAATGATCACGGGTACCGTTATGTAACCACTAGTACATTCTAAGAAACGTTAAGGTAAAACGTGGTTCAAAATTGCGTTTTATATATTTGGTCACTAAGTTTTTTTCCTACCTATTTATATATTTTGAGTCAAAAAAGATAACATTTCGGTTCCGGACTCAGAAAAAGATCACGGGTACCGTTGTGTAACCACTAGTACATTCTAGGACGTTGTAGAGATGTGGTAAATAAGGAAGCCACATCAACCTGCTCACTCATCTATCCAGCCAAATCAGTCCACGTGAATTCCTTGCTTTTATGGCCCAGACCTTACTTGCGTGGCTCTTAAAATATCCACCCCTTTTTCCCATGCCTATTGCTATAAATACCATACCAAACTTCATCTACATTATTCAAGTGAGTTAATTCGTTTAATAATCAAGAGTTGCAATCAAATTTCTTTGAGTTTTTATATAAAAAGATGGCAACTTGTGGTGGTATGCAGTCCATGATATTGGGAAGTCCAATAGTGTCAAAGAGGAATGGAGTGAATCAGTTCGTTCCTTGTTGTTATATTCCACGCCCTCAGAGGAATTCTACTCTTAGTGTTAAGTGTATGTCCAAGGTAAGATGCTGGATAATTAAATTTTATTTTAAAAAACATGACAAAAACTCATGTCCGAATTTATCGTCAAAGTTTAAGTGTTTTAGCTCTCATACTACGGACTATGTATGCCAAACAAATTGAAACGGAAGGAGTATTTTAATTTCAAATTTTCTGTCTTACACTTATTAACATGCTCTTATGGTCACGAGTATGAAAATATTGCATGTTAAATTATTATTATTTTGCTTGCCAAGCTTCTTTAAATTAATTAATTATTGATATTTCTAAAATTTGCAGGATGGTGAGAAGGGTCAAACTTCAAACTCGTTGAATGATACTGCTGCAACGCCTACGCCTACACCAACACCTCGTCCTGTGGCTAAGGTCTACATTTTTCAACGTTTTTTCCGAAGTCTGCAAAACTTTATCTGACATATTTACTTAAATATAGTATATATGTGTAGTGACATAGTTTGAACAAGTAATAATTTTCATTATCATGTCTGATGTGGGAGACAAAGAGCCATTAGTTTCAGGGAGGTTTATGGATTCCTATCGTAGTTTTAAATTAATATTCAATAATAATTGGATTTATAATTAAATATCTATATGTATTTAGTGAATTTTTTAATATAAATATAGGGTCTATACAAGAGTTATTGGATTCTCGAAAATCCATATTCAATGCTCTAGGTCCGCCCAAATTAGTGTCTTAGAACCTGTTTGGCCATGAATTTTGCCAAAATAAATTTAGGATTTATTTTCACTACTCATGTTTGGTCATAAATTTTGGCAAAATCCCAAACCCCAAATCTCAAAATCACCCCAATTGCTGATTTTGGTCCAAAATTTCAAAACTTGGGAATTATATACATGTTTTTTCAAAATAAAGTTGGGAAATGTGTTTTGAAAATGTATGTCCAAATACATTTACATCTTCAATCCAAACTTCACCCAAATCAAATTTTTCAAAACAAATGTGTGATCTATGTTCAAACGCTAGCTTAGTATACTCATATTTTACCAATATAATTTAACATGAAGTCAATAATAGCTCGTTTATTTTGTAGTATTGTTAATGACATTTATTATATGTACAAGTGGTGTTTTTCAAGTGATATAATAGTGTGTGTATATATATTTAATAATTCATCTGTTCACTTTTAATTGTCCACTATGTTAAAAAAAATATTTTTATTTTTACTTATCTACTATACGAAATTTCGAGGAAGGCAACTTCTTTTTTCATTTTACCCTTGTCCTTAATTACTTATTTTTTCAAATCTTTTTTCGTAATCTTTTGGAGATGCTATTATTATTTAAGGTAAAATTATAAAATACAGACTTCATTTTTTTTAAAAGAGTGTAAAATCAATCGGAGTGAATATTAGATTTATGATTAATATTTAAAATATTACAAATATTTAATATTAGTGTTTTGATATTTACTAGCATTTCTATCACTTCAACATACAAGATCATTGTTCTAACATTTCTCGTACCATTTTATGAACAGACCAGCACCAAATTCGGAGACCTATTCGCCTTCTCTGGTCCAGCACCAGAGCGTATTAACGGCAGGCTAGCAATGATCGGGTTCGTTGCCGCCCTTGGCGCTGAATTCGCCAACGGCGGCGACATCTTCGCTCAGCTATCGAGCGGAGGTTTTTCGTGGTTCTTAGGGACAAGTGCTTTACTAACATTAGCATCTCTAATTCCTCTATTTCAAGGCATTAGAGCTGAGAAAAAATATACAAGTGGGATTATGAGTGCTGATGCTGAGATTTGGAATGGAAGATTCGCTATGTTGGGATTAGTTGCTTTGGCTTTTACTGAGTATGTTAAAGGAGGTGCATTTATTCAAGTGTAAATGATTTAATTATAAAAGAAAATTATCGCGCCTCCTGGCTTTGTTTTCATATAATTTATTCGATTAGATGGAAAGTTATACGACTTTTTGACTTTGTAAGAATATGAAATGAGTGCGAAAATATGTAACCTACTTTGCTATTTTTATGTATTTCCTTAATTATGCTGTTTAAGTTTTGATAAATTGGAAAATATTTTCTCCTATTTAAGGTGTAGACTTCTTTGTTCCCATTTGCTGCCCTTGGAAACACCATATATTTTTTAAAATGTTTATACTATTAGTGTCTCATAATTGCGATAATTTATCTCTCACAAACATGAGCAACATCACATACAATTGTTATTTCAGTTGACATAAAATAATTAATCAATCAAAGCTTAAAATGCAAACCCGCTATTATTCTGTAGATGAATTATCTTAATTACATAATTAAAAATGTACGTTCTTTATCTAATTATTTGGCAAAACAATTGAACCAATATCTTTCAGAGTGTCACATAAAGATAACATTTCCACTATTTGGATTGATAATTGAAAAGTAGTCAGTATTTGTAAAGTTATTGAAAAATAGTCACTATTTTACTGTAACTCGGAAAGTTCCACCATAATATACCGGAGATTGGTGCACCTGTATATGAACTTCCAGTATATTATGCTAGAACTCCAACACGCGAAAAGTTACAGCATAATATATTGGAGATTGGAGCATCTGTGTATGAACTTCCAGCATAATATGCTGGATTGGTATATTATACTGGAACTCCAGTATATTATGCTGGAAGTCCAGTATATTATGTTGAAAATATACTTAAGTCCAGTATATTATGTTGAAAATCCAGTATATTATGCTGGAAATTCAGTATATTATGCTGGAACTCTACTATAATATACTAGAGTTCAAGTATAGTATATTAGAATTTCAGTATATACTGGAGTTCTAGTATATTATGCTAGAATATTTTTCGGATTTTGAACAGTGTTTTATATTGGAGTTCTAGTATATTATATTAGAATTTCAGTATATTATGCTGGAATATTTTTCGCATTTTGAACAGTGTTTTCGTTCAAATATATCTTTATATGAAAAGTGACTAAATTTCGAATACTTTTAAAACTGTGACAATTTTTTAATTACTACTTGTAAATCTAGCTATTTTTGAATTTCTCCCTATTTCCAATGTTCTTGCCTCGTGCATGAAAAAAAGAGGAAAAATCTCAGTATCATTAGAAAATATGTTCTTCTTTTTATTTAAGATTTTCTTTATATGAAGAAAAGGAACTCCATAAAAGTAACATTAAAATTGTTATAAGCATCAATTTAACATAAATTAATCAAGTAAATGATAGCTATGTATACTTGCTGTTTTTCTTATTTTATACTTAAATTATAGTATATAGAAAGAGACATTAGTCTCAAGGATTGAAGAATTTGTTGCCACACTTGCACCTCCAAGCTTCAGGGTAGTACTCTAGTTTTTCGCTAACACCAGGATGAACGATGATTCGAACTGGTGTACATGGTGAACAATTTCCACACTTGGTTATACACTGAGGTGGTGATGAACCTGTCACATTCAAAAAAGAAAAATTTATATTAATTTCTTATTTTATATGACGATATTTGAATGAGAATATGTTGAATTTAACGAATAAAGAAAAAATACTTTTCACATACCAAGAATACCCTTAAATTGTGTAGTTTTAGACACATCAAGATATTCGTATAGCTACAAAAGAATGTCATTATGAGCAGTGGCGGATTCAGAATTTTAAAGTCATGGGTGCTCGCTGATAAAAATTTTAAAAGAAGAGGAAAAAGAAGTTTAATTGCGCATGCTCACTCAATATTTATCTAAATATTTTTATAATTGCCTATATAAATTTACTAAATCTGGTCAAAAATAATGGGTGCTTGAGCACCCACAAGGAACAATGTGGATCCGCCATTGATTATGGGCAATGGCGGATGCAGTCCTCTGGCAACAGGTTTATTCGTACACAATATTTTTGACGAGAAGCATATATTGATATATTTTTATGAAACTTCACTAAAATTTCAAATGAATATTAAATTTGAACCTATAATTTTGAAAGTTCAAATTAAGAAAGTTAAAAATCGAACTAATTTTGAATCTTAGATATTGGATACGACTCGCCGCTAATTGTTGGTTCAATAAAAAGTTTAAAGTTAAATAAGTTTTAAATATTAAAAAATATCATTCTTCCAAAACTACGATAGGAAAAGGAGAATCGTATAAATAAAATAGAGGGAGAAATTATTTGTTGATATACTCACCGAGATAACGAGTAGGGTTGAGGTTCCGATAAGATAATTACATGTAACTTTTTATGATAAAGAATATTATGATAACCTGACAAAAACCATAACTAACATATAATAAGAAGTTAAACTTCAATGGTCATGAAAAAAGAATTTTTATATTGTCAGTATATATAATTTAAATCATTCTTTATTTTTTGTAGATACAACGAGGTATTATTGAGTCTTAAGAATTTTGAATATTTGAGAAGTTTCAAAGAAATAGAATACAATTTTACCTCATTTTCATGTTGACAAAGTATTTTGAGGCTGTAAGATCAAAATATTTCCTCTTTGAGATGGTTTGTGTTTTTGTGACAAATAACAAATTCCTATATATAGAGGAAGCAAAATGGTGAAAAATAATTGTAAGACGATTTGCATTAGATGCCAATTAATTAACGCATGAGACCATAGTAATTAGGATTAAGTAGAAAATACTATATTACTTGAGAAGTAAATTACAATAGGACATGCTTAAGAGGGCATAAATGCAAGAAATTCGCCATTAAAGAAGAATTAGGTTGCTATTAAGATGGGCCGGTAAAAAGAAGCCCAGTCCAAAAAGAAGCCCTTATCATTTAAAAGATAAGGGATCTTTACACCAATAGCCAGTTAAATTCACTGTTTACTTTTTCTAAGCAGCGTGGCATGGCATGATGCGGGGCATGGCAAGCCGTCATGGCACGACGCAGGGCGTGGTCATGGAACAACATCGGACGGTACAAGCCGCCATATATATATATATATATATATATATATATATATATATATATATATATATTTATGAATTGACCCAACTGAGCCCAACTTAGTCCTTGTAGGCCAGAGAATTTAACAGACCCAGCTCTTTACTCGAAAGGGCCTTCAAAATGCTAGCCCAACACTGCGATAGGTGGACCGTAGGTGTAAAAATTGTACGGGGCGTCCTATTTGGTCGCCCCCATTTAACCTATACTTATTTTTTTAAAAGTTTTAACTTGTACCCACTTTTTAAACAACTTCAGCCCCCTTTCTCCTCCTCCTCCTCCTCCTCCTCTTCTTCTTCTTTCTTCTGCTGCTGTTGGTGCTGCTATGAAACTTCAGCTCATGGGATGATTGCCATAAGTATATTTATCAGATTATTTAAAAATAAATTGTAAATAACAACGTAAGTTAGTAGGCATATTTTCACGTACGGGAAGTTTAAGGTCACACTTAGTGATTCTTTTCATGATAATTCTGTTCTTTTCACGTTTATTTATTTCCAAAATTTTATGATTTGGATACTGTTGGCAATCTGATTATTTTATAGTAGTCTGATTATAACATAACTAATGAATCCAGGAAAAAAAATAGCTTATTTAGTGCTGAAGTTTTTACAAATGAACTAAATAACTTCAGCATCTTCTGCTGAAGTTTTTGAAAAAGCTTATCCAGGATAAAAAAACTTCAGCTTATTTAGTGCTGAAGTTTTTACAAATGAACTAAATTAACTTCAGCATCTTCTGCTGAAGTTTTTGAAAAAGCTTATCCAGGACAAAAAAACTTCAGCTTATTTAGTGGTGAAGTTTTTATAAATAAACTAATTAACTTCAGCATCTTCTGCTGAATTTTTTGAAAAAGCTTAATGACAAAACTAATGAATCCAGGACAAAAAAACTTCAGCTTATTTAGTGCAATTACAAACAAAAACTTCAGCAAATAGAGAACAAAACTTCAGCTACTATGCTTAATTTAGCAATTACAAACAAAAACTTCAGCACACTTGGTTCAGCACACTTGCTACTTCAGGCCCGTCTGCTAGAATGCTGAAGTTTTGCGTGATTGCCTTTGCTACTTCAGCCCCGTATGCTAAAGTTACGCGAAAAAGTGAGTACGCTTGCAATTTTTTTTGCAAAGCGGGCACAAGTTAAAACGTGACAAAAAAAGCGGGTATAGATGCAAATGCCCCACCGCAGGCTGGCATTTTCCTTTGATCAAAATTGGGGTATTATCACTTTTAGCCCACGCCAGAAACTATATACATCTGGTAGCCGAAAAAAGTATATAAAATTTGTATAATTTTTGTTATACAAAAATATATATAAATTTTATACATTTTGGCTATTATTTTTGCAGTAGCTATATAGGGCCATTTTTCGATCAAAATTTCCAAATTTACCACAAGATTAGAAAGATACAGAGGTTATTGTGCATTACCTGATGTTACTAAAAATTGTTTTGCTGTTCATCCATTTTCTGGTTCTGGTGATCCTGTTATTTATTTCATGGTTTCTTTTAATGGTATTGATATGTTGCCTCTTTTCGTCTTCTTGAGCCAAGGGTCTTTTGGGAACAGCCTCTCTACCCCCTTGGGATAGGGGTAAGGTCTGCATACACACTACCCTCCCCAAACCCCACGAGTGGGATTTAACTAGGTCATTGTTGTTGTTGTTACTAAAAAAGAAGCAACTTTAATGAAATGAGGCATAGAAATAAGTACTGACGGAGCCAGAATTTTCACTAAAGGGTGTTAAAATATAAAGTAAATCACGAAAAAGCCAAAGATGTCAATATATAGTATATATACATAATTTTTTTATCTAACTACTCAGTGTAATTTTTTGACGCAGAGTAAAAACTTATACCCCTTGAATACATGTGGTTCCACCACCGGAAAGAAGTAAACTCTTTCTGGTCAATTTATATCTTTCAAATGGAGCTAAGGAAAAAAGTGATAGTCCACCATATATGTCTACTCTAATGTTCGTTGTTCCAACAAAGAAAACGTGCAGAAAGTGATGAGTCATAACTAGATATAGGTTGAATGAATGAAATAAAAAGAAAGAATAAGATAATTCAGATTAAGTCAAATGATTAGATGGAGTTGGAAACATCATTTTTAGCGTACTATAAATATATTAACACAGACAAAATTTCTAACATTCTGACATTGTACTAAAACTACTCTTAATAGTTGCCAACAATTGACAGGACAAGATAGAAACTATATTTAATTTACTGAAATACATGCATATATCATTCATACTATAAGCATTAAATAAAATGTTGACCCTGTGATCAACAGGAGTACTACTCTACTATACAACAAAATTTTCTTATTATCTCCACCAAACGACGTCAAATTTTCATCCTTATTAGGAATTTTTGATTCTGGAACAGGACGGCTGCCCAGAATTGCTGGCGATTGAATCGAAGGGTTATTTTTGTCGTCTCGGGTTGAATTTAGAACTGGAATATCATCCATGTTTGGTGGTAAGGGCAACACCAAATCCTTTGGCACAGATGGTAGTGGTGATGGTGGTGGCTCCTTTGGAGGCAAAAACACTGGCACTGGTCTGCTTGGTGGAGGCTTCGTTTCTTGTACTGGACTAAACATTGCTTGAGGTGCTACAAAAAAAATTGTAAGAATAAATTAGCCCCAAAACTAGAGTTATTGCCGCAAAAGGTGTCATCTGACACTGTTTCGCCAAAAAAAAAAAATAGAATGAAAATATATGTATAAGTAGTACTCGTTCAATTTCATTTTATATGTCTTGGTTTGATTGTGTACGAAGTCAAGAATGAAAAGTGGACTTTTAAATCTCACAACCTTCAACTAAGAGCACGTTTGGACATAAGAAAATTTTCACTTTTTTTCGAAATTTTTTTATTTTTTTGAAATCAGCGTTTGGTCATACAATTTCCAATTTTCACTTGAAGATGCATTTTGGAATTTTTCAGAAATTTGAAAAACTCCGAAAAGTTATTTTTTAAAATTTTCACTCAGATCACTCACAAAACTTCAAAAACAACCCAGAATTATATTCATGTCCAAACACAACTCTAATTTTCAAATACCATTTTCACTTGAAATTTTTTTTCACTTTTTTTTGTTTGAAATTTTACAATTCTTATGTCCAAACGCCCACTAAGTGTGTGTATGATCTATAACATACCAAATTACCCTTTAATTCTAGTGGTCTTAATTAAACATGCCAAGTTAATTATTTCTGCAAGGGAATTCATTAATGGTAAAAGTGAGTGGTGAAAGACATTTTTTTTTTCTAAAACAGACGAAAAAAGTAAAACACATAATATATACAATAAGCATTTGAAAATAATGGAAATGGAAAATCAATTTAGAACAAGAAATGAAGCCTTAGAACCCCCACAATCCTAAATATAAACTCATATATAAACTAGTCGAGTTGTAATATTAAGCCAATATTGCTTTGTAAAAAATTCTGCATATGCCACTAAGACACAAAAATTCATAACAAGCATAGAATTGAAATAAGAATTGAAACTAAGAGATCTACTATATATATATATATATATATATATATATGTATATATTACCTTGGCATTGAGTTAAAGGAGGTATTGAAAGGAAACAGTTAGACAGAGGTAGAACAAGCGAGGTTGTTATAAGAGGAGTAGAAGAACCTAAGATTGCGCACAAGCAATAATATCCTGCTTGAATAACTTGATTGAGTGCATTACAACAAGAATCAAAAGAAGCTTGACTTTTGCCTTGATCCAAGCATTGTTCTAAGTCTATCCCTTGGAATGAACATTGTGGCAAATGACATGTTGCTGTTGGGAACAATATAGCAAGAAAAAGCATAGTTGCAAAAGTCCAAGTAAAGTACTTGAGATTGTCCATTGTCAATTAGGTTGCTTGAATACGAAATGTTTCGTGCACTAGACTGCCCTTTGCCTTTTCAGCTGTAAAATTAGGCTGATGAATTTTTTAGGACTAATATGACATGAATTTATGGTTTGTATTCATGAGTGTTTTTGCATGCTTGTGACCTACTCAGATCATATAGTTTGTGTGTTTTTTGCAGTTTATATTCATGCTAACAATGTTGAATGAAGATAAGCACAATATTTCATTTCTTTGGTCATAATTTTACACTTAGAATTAATCAGATGGACTAAAGTCAAACTCATTGAGAAAGAGTGTTGGAACATTCTTTTTGTCTTGTTGCACAATGTAGTCTTAATTGCGGTATTGAAGAATTAACCTAAATAGCCACTCACTCAACTGCTTAAAACTAAAAATAGGTGGCCGATATATATATATATATATATATATATATATATATATATATATATATATATATATATATATATGTATATATGTGTGTGTGTGTGTATAATCATACATAATCAGTGTATAATTTATGTATATCGGCTACAAAAAATAAACAGTAAATCTGACCGGCTATTTATGTAAATCTGAAATCTTATTAACTTTATCTTTTAAGGAAAATTAGGTTGTCCAAGCTCCTCTACTTTTGACTCATACTTGCATTACCATACAAGTCACTAATAAGAGCAAAATAAAATTCCAATAAAATTTGACCGTTTCTATCTTGTTTTATGGTAAATGATTGAGAAAATTACCCTCTATAGCCCTCAAAATTTTAAGCTCATGTTTTATCCTACTTACAAAAAATAGCCTTCGGCGCAAACGTATTGCATATAATAGCCGAAAGGAATAAGCATGACAACATAAGCACTTGTAGCTCAGTGGATAGAGCGCCCGTTTCCTAAGCTGAAGGTTGAAGGTTTGACCCGTACCTGGCTCGATAGAGCAACCCTTTTTTGCCTTTTTAAATGTACTTCTGGATCTGATAAGTATTAGCTAACAATTGATGAAATATGTAATGCAAGTCATATACGAAATGTCTTTTATTGTATATTTTTTGTATAATAACAGTCTATTTTTGTATATGTTTTGTATAATAACAGACTATTTTTGTATATATTTTTTCATAGTGACAGTCTATTTTGTATATTTTTTGTATAGTAACAGTCTATTTGTATAGTGACAGTCTATTTTGTATATTTTTTGTATAGTGTCAGTCTATTTTGTATATATTTTGTATAGTGAGAGCTAATTGTATATAAATTGTATAGTGGCAGTCTATTTAGTATATTTTTATATGAGAAAATTATCCTCTATAGCCCCTCAAAATTTTAATAGCCCATATTTTTTCTCACTTACACAAAATGGCCCTCCGGCCCAAACATCTAGTAGCTCGAAATGTCTGTTTTGTGTATTTTTTGTATAGTGACCATCTATTTTGTATATTTTTTGTATAGTGCAGTCTATTTTGTATAATGACAGTCTATTTAAGTATATATTTTGTATAGTTACAGTCTATTTTGTATATATTTTGTATAATGATAGTCTAGTGTATATAAATTATATAGTGGCAGTCTATTTAGTATATTTTTGTATAGGGACAATCTATTTTGTATATATTTTGTATAGTGACAGTCTATTTTGTATAGTGATAGTCTATTGTATATAAATTATATAGTGACAGTCTATTTAGTATAATTTTGCATAGTGACATATATATATATATATATTGACAATTTATTGTATATAAATCATGTAAAGAATTTATATCAAACTATAGCCCATCGGATAAACTAAGTCAAAAGCAAATTGGTACAATTTTTTTGTTGTCTTTCCTAGATATTTTTGCTTTCCCAATACCGCTCATTTTCTCTTTTCACCGTCTTTGCACTCAACATTTTTACCCTTTCTATGTATTTCATCTTTTTCAATTCTTTTTACTCCAACATTACTTTTCTCACCCTTTTATTTTTTAATTAATACTTTTTACAATTTATCTCTTACCTTTTCCTAGCATAACACGTGGTTTTATACAGCCACTTGTCTAGACTCTAGACTAAGACAATATTTATCCATCACCACTTCTGATCTAATCCTTTTCCCTTTTTCTTTATGGTTATATTTGTCCATTTAGCTATTATATTTAGTCTCTCCCCATTCTTTGTGCGAGTATTTTTTGGAAATTTTGTCTAAGTGCCTAGAAAAAATTATCGAAATTTCAATTTTAAGTCTTAAATAAATTTTTCGGTTAATGCTACGTGAATGATATTGGGAGTGACAGTAGAATGGGAGAGATTTTTTTGGTCAAGATCTGCATGTTGTTGATGGTGTATGCTGGTGGACGTGTTAATTTTTGTGTTTCTTCTTCTTCTTAATTTATTTTAGCGTGCACAGAAGCAAAAATCGAGGTTAGGACAAAAATTAATCATGGCCAAGTCACATGCTTTCTACTAATAGATAAACAATTTAGGCTTTACAATTATTTAATGAGAACCAGCAGGAGATGTTTGTTCAAAAAGAAAAATAAGAAAATTAGATGGATGATGAAGTTAGTTTGAATTAAACCAACAATAGCCTAAGGAACATACGCCTGCTTCTATGAGAAGGTGGATGTCGATCTAGGATTTACACGGTATGTGGAGAAGATCAATTTAGGCTAGCCGTTATAATTTGTTTGGGGCTATAAATTGTATAGATCAATTCATGGCTAGTGAGTGATAATAGTTTTTACCGGCCGGCTTTCTTTTTTCTGGTTTCCCACCCAATGTTCGTTGAGGAAACTACCCTCTATAGCCCCTTAAAATTTTAATAGCCCATGTTTTGTCTCACTTATAGAAAATGGCCCTTCGGCCCAAACATATTGCATTTAGTAGCCCGAAAGGAATCAGCATGACAACACAAGCGCCTGTAGCTCAGTGGATAGAGTGCTGTTTCGTAAGCAGAATTTCGCAGGTTCGACCCCTACCTGGCGCAATAGAGTAACCTTTCTTTGCCACGGTCTATTTTGTATAGTGACGGTATATTTTATGTATTTTTTGTATATGACAGTCTATTTTGTATATAATTTATATTGTGACAATCTATTGTATATAAATTGTATAGTAACAGTTTATTTAGTATTTTTTTGTATAGTGACAGTCTATTTTGTATATATTTTTTATATTGACAGTCTATTTTGTATAAAATTTGTATAGTGACAATCTATTGTATACAAATTGTATAGTGATAATTATTTAGTATATTTTTGTATAATGACAGTCTATTTTGTATATATTTTATATAATGACAGTCTATTTTGTATAGTACAGTCTATTTTGTATATTTCTTGTATAATGACAGTCTATTTTTGTATATCTATTGTATAAAAATGTTTTTGTTATGACCAATTTAGAATGTACGCAAAATTTGATTTTTGTTTCAAAATTTGACAAATTGTTTCAACTCTTTTTTGCTTTTGGGTTGGATAGAATACAAAGGGAGAGTTCAGAATCTCATGTTATAAGTGTGCTTGTGAGTGATCGAATGGTCAATTGTGTTGTCTAGTTTGTATCGTCTACCTCTATAAGAAACAATTGCGCGTACCATTACAACAAAAAATACTACTCTAATATTTGTGATGGAGAATAGAAGTATGTTATATTCAGAGTAATTAGTTAAAGTTGATGCCTATACTAAGTGCACCTTTTTGAAACACATGTTGTTAAGATAAACTTTGATTAAGAAAATAAACTCGGCTGGTTAATGGTTAAGATAAACTCCGTGGAGCCGAACAAAATCTCTGGAGGACGATACCATAAAGTGACAACTCGGCTGGTTAATGGTTGCTTCCGTTCCGTCCAAGGTTACAGAAGTTCGCCAATCCAAAATCTGCAACCTTCAAAATTCCGTCATTATTTACCAGAAGATTTGCACCTTTGATGTCTCTATGCGGAAAATTTTATTTTGTGTCTCATACAACTGACACTAGTTGTATGAGGCAACCTTTTTGCAGTTTTGTGGACCCAAATTTCTGTGGACCCAAAAGTGTAAGATTGGGGTCCACAAATTTGTGACGCAAAAAGAGCCTCATACAATTAGTGTCAGTTGTACGAGACACAAAATAAAACTTCTCGTCCCTATGCATTACACCTCGAGAATGACAACGCTCGATTCCAGACAACAACTGCTTCATGTAGCATTTAACCTATAAAATGAGCCAACTCATCTTTAGCCCAACAAGAATATTAAGAGCTCACTGAGGGGAGGAGAAAGGTAAATTTTACCAAATACCTTTACAAACCAAAAAGAAAAAGGAGAAAAAGAATTTCCTGCTTAGATATAGATAGATGATCGTCATCCATTAACCAGCTTCAAAGTCTCTCCAATTTCATTTTCAGCCAGCAAATGAAAAATTTGGAAGAAAATAAAAGGGGCTTCAGATGAAGAAAACTCAGAACCATTGATCTTTCCCCTCTCATTTCGATCGCGGACCCATTTTTCTTCCGCCTTTCTCCCAAACCCTAATTTCAAAACCCCCAAATCTCTATACATATATCAATTCAATTCAATCCACACATATAGATACATAGAGCCAGGTTGAAAGAGAAAGGAAGGAAATTAGAGAGAGACAAGGGTTGATGGCAGCGATATGTGTTTCCGTGATAGTTGAATCGGTGGCTAGCCCTTTTAATTAGTTTTGGGCTATAAAATGCATACTTCAATTTTATGGCTAGCGGCAGGCCATAAATGAAGTTTGCTCATGTTCGTTACCCGCATTGAAGTCCGACTATATTCGGATTTGCGCCGCGTAAGGCCCCATTCGAAGGAAAACACACCTTACCAAGGATTTTTCCATACCCAGGGCTCAAACCTGAGACCTCTAGATTTTTCCATACCCAGGGCTCAAACCCGAGGCCTCTAGTTAAGGGAAAAACAGGTCCATCCGCTACGTCACATCCTTTTGTGGTTACTCAATCCCTTTAAGTTTATGCCACTGTATTTCCTTTTAAGTCTTTTTGAAAAACTAATTATTAAATTTCAAAAATAATTTGACCTAAAACTTCTAGTTTATCGTATGATAAACTTTTATGGCTACATAAATATTATGTTATATCTAAGTCCATAAAAGTTTCCGAAAATTTATAGCCACGCTTACTTTGTGGCATGTTTAAGATCACAAAATCTTAAATTTAAATATGATCACATAAATTAAATATGATCACATAAAATGAAACGGGGATATAATTAGTACAGACCAAGCAAGTGACGCATAGCAAATTAAACTCGTTTTTGTTCTCAAAACTGTCCAATTGAAAACATAACAAACGCCCAAATTTAAATTAATTCAAAGGTCCCAAATAATACAACAAGAAGTACATAATCTTCTCAATATTCTATATTACATCAATATCATAGCTGCACAAATGAAAGAATAACATTATAATAAAAATCTCAAAATAAATGTCATAAACATTCCCACCCCATTGCGCACACAAATTCAGTAATTTTGGTGTCTTATCATCTCAAACTAATACAACATAAAACCAATTGCACCAAATGCAACAAGGAGGAATAATGGTGAAAAACCATAGCTAAGAGAAGGGGCAGCTGATGGCGTAACAGGATTTTGACGACGGCCGGAATTCGTCGCAGATGGAGATGTTGGAGTTACAGCAGGAACTGCATTAGCTTCTGGTGCCAAAGTTGGTGACATTGGTTGGGAATCAGTCGCATCTGTGCAAATTTGTTATCAAGTTAAAATCATAGAATCAATAAACTTTTAATCTATGTTGGTTAGATTCTCCAAAAATGTCAGTGCACCCGTGTCAGATTCTCCAAGAATAAATGACGTTTGGAGAATCTGATATACACCCGACGCGATTGTTGAAGGGTCAGAGCACATAGCTTTTAGTCAGTTAGTATGGACAAATATGTATAATATGTGTATGACTAATGTATAATTCATGTATACCGACTAGGATCCGGCCGGCTATTTGTGTAAAAATTCCAAAACTAGATATTACCTTTAGGACTACGAGAAGGGCTAGGAGCAGATGTTGGTGAAGAACTTGGAGCACCAGCAACAGAAGGACCTAGTTGACAAAAAAAGTATTAAATTCACATAATTTTCAAGGCAATTCTAGATAATAAAATCCTTGAAATGGACATTAATATTTAAAAAAATTATGATATGAAATTGGTAATATGTACCTGGAGCCGCTGCAGGTGGACTTGAGGCTGCAATCAAAAAATCACTAAGGGTGTTAGTAACTATTGAGAATTTTTTTAGCAATAAGGCTAAAAATGTAAATATGAACATAATAGTCCTCTTAAATTTTCTTATTTGTAAACCAAATCGAAGAATGAAAGGAAGCGTTAGCGCAACATTAAAAGTTGCGCCTTGTGACTAGAAGGTCATGGATTTAAGCTGCGAAAACAGCATTTTGCAGAAATGTAAGATAAACATGTGTACATAAGACCCAATGTGGTCCGACCAAAGACAAACCTAGATTTTGTTTGCATTCAACTAAAATCTGCTTGGCATATAGATGCCATTACTACTATATCACTACTTTCCAAAGACATATATATGTATATATGAATTTTTGCCAACTTTCAGGGTGTCGGTGACCCCTCTCATTACAGCACAAGTCCGCTTTTGGACCTGACCTTTCCCGAATTCCATGCATAATGGGAGCTAAATGTATGAAGCCGCTCTTGTGATATGAGGAATGTAATGGCTCAAACTTTGAGTTTATCCAACATAACTAAAGGGCGGCCCGAAGCACTAAGTTGCCGCTATGCGCGAGATCCGGGAAAGGGCCGGACCACAAAGGTCTATTGTACACAGCCTTACCCTGCATCTTTGCAAGAGACTTTATCCACTGCTCGAACCGGTGACCTCCTGGTCACATAGCAGCAACTTTACCAGTTACGGCAAGACTCCCCTTCTTTATCCAACACAACATTGGAACTAAAAAGGAAAGAAATGGTGGCCATTCCCTTCTTTTCAAAACTATGAACATTTATGTCTTTTCTATTATAGATTTGATCATAAATTTTTTACCTTTGCATTGGAATGGAACAGCAGCCATATTACAAGCACGAGGAAGAGACATGGTTGCGTTAGGATTGATAGGAATTTGAAAAGGAATGCCACCAGTTGCAATAACACAAAGACAAGCAGTGCCATTACTCATCATAGTTTTGAGTGCATTGCAGCAGCCTGCAGATGGGGTTGTCCCATTGCCACTGCTGTTGGCCAAGAAACTCAAACATGGGGTGAAACTTGTCAACATCGTCGACGTGCAAGGGGAAGTCGGAAATTGAGCATTAATAGGTAGAGCTGCTAAGACGACGCAAGAAAGAAACATAACTGGAAATAACACAGAGTTTTGAAAAGCCATTGTACTAAAAAAGAGTTTTTTGTTATGTAATTTGTTTGAGGAATTTGTTGATGGTTTGAATGGTTAAGTGAGGATTAAAGAAGAGGGAATATATATAGAGGAAATATGTATAAAAGAGAAATGAAAGCTATGTAGCTGATGAATATGCAGGTGATGAAGTTCAACAACCTTAACAAACTTTTTTGTTGTTTTTGCCTTTGAATTCCACCACAACCAATGAGGAAGGTTCAACTGAATTTCCTTTGTAGCCTATTGCACCTTAACGGGTTCTGTAAGTTAAATAAATAAAACTGTGTCACATTTTCATGGATAACGGAGTTTACTGTTCTGGTTAAAACGATGTTATAAAGTGAAGAAAAAGGAGGAAAATACTGTAATTTCAATAAGATTTCTTTCCCCCACTTGATTGCATAAGGAGGATAAATTTTCGAATAAACAGCAGTGATAAAATTATACAGCGAAAATAGAATAAAAATAACTTTTTCCATATATATATATAAAAATTTGAAATCCTAGGGTAGGGGTAAGGTATGCGTACACACTACCCTCCCCAGACCCCACTAAGTGGGATTATACTGGGTTGTTGTTGTTGTTGTTGTTGTATATATAAAAATTTGAATCCCTTTAACATGGTGGCAAAAATAGTTCAGAAATTACTTTTAGGCACGTGTTCGAATTTTGTAAACTCACTTGTTAAAATTCTTGGCTCCGCCACTGCGCTGAAGGGGCGCAACCACTTTTAGACATGGCATTGAACTCTTAGGTTAACAGTTAAAATTGTCAATAGTTGAGGACTCTCGTTCAACTGTTTACTTTCGTACTATTGAAATTGTTATAAATGGAAAAACAAATAAGGGCAACCAAGTGCACTAAGCCCCCGCTATGCGTAGGGTTTGGAAAAGAGTCGGACCACAAGAGTCTATTGTACGGAGCTTACCCTACATTTCTACAAGTGGTTGTTTCCACACGCCCTCTTGTACCAAACTAACAAAAAAATGCATGGTTTGTGACATTATCTTGCAATTTACTATTAACTTTTACTCCCTCCGGTCCAAAATAAGTGATTTTTTGATCTTTTTTTGGTGGTTCAAAATAAGGGATTTTTTCAGATTTCAAGGATGAATTAATTATTTTTTTCCTACATTGTCCTTGGAGTAAATAGTGTTGGAATATGTGTTAGAAGTGTTTATGTGAGATAGTAATGATTAATACGGTCAATTTTATTGTTAATTAATGCTAAAATGTTGATTTTTTAATCTGTGTGAAAACATCCAAAAAAATCACTTATTTTGGACCAGAGGAAATATTAAATTCTACCGTAATTTTTTCATGAAATGAAATTATCTCAAAACAGAAAAGCAAATTTTCTTGAAATGCAAAAGTAGAACTTCAATAAAGTCTTTAGCCTTAGCTGTTTTCTGTTTACCATTAAACAAATTGTGGGGTACAGTAAGCATGAGTTGGTCACCAGTATAACTAACATTGTTCCAACTTTACCTAATTCATTTGTAAATTATGATAAAAAGTCATCAACAGTTATTTTTCCATTCCAAGTCATCAATTATATGAACATCTTATTTTTGACTCTTCATTCTCTTTCTTCTATATAAATCAAGCCACACTTTCTTCTTCCATCAAGATTGTGTGCTTAATCACTTCTCTGCACCTCACATCGATTTCTGAGCGCTAATTCACCAATCAAATAAATGGCAACTCAAAGGAACACAATGAGTCTTGTATTTATTGCGTCGGCGATGATCTGGACAGGAGCTGCAGCTCAATCAAGCGATGATTGCACGAATGTGTTGGTTAGTATGTCCCCGTGCTTGAATTACATCACGGGGAACTCTTCATCACCGTCCTCAGGTTGCTGCACGCAGCTTAGCACGGTGGTTAAGAACAACCCTGAATGCTTGTGCCAGGTCCTCAATGGTGGTGGTTCCAACCTCGGCCTCAACATTAACCAGACTCAAGCTTTGGCTCTTCCTACAGCTTGCAAAGTTCAGACTCCATCAGTCAGCAAATGCAATGGTAAGAAAACAATTCATTTTTCAAATACTCCTTCCGTTTCAGTTTGTGTCTTAGTTTGACTCGACATAAAGCTTGATAATATATATAAGATTTTTGAATCTTGTGGTTTAATATTAAAAGCGTGTATAACTAAGTTGCTTGGGCACGGGTACGGGTGTCCGACACGGGTGCAGATCTAAAGGTCGGATCCTTCGATACGTAAATTCTAAGATTCGGGAATACGGATCCTAGTACAGATACAGATGCGGGGATCAAGCTAAAAATAATTCAGAAAAATAAAAAAAATCTAAATTATAAGAAATTTTGTGAAGTACTTACTTATAACTTGTAAATGTAGTTTTGTTTTTCATTCTCAAGTTGTACATAAGGGACTGATTCCCTAGATAAGGTGTGCTATTTTCTTCAAATTTACCCTAGTTTTTGGTTCCGATTTCGGGAGCAATTATATCTCGTCTCAAATTTTTTTGTCCGTCATTGTTAGGTACCCAAAACTGTTTGACCAAATCCGGTATGAATCCCATACCGACACGCATACTAATGTCGTGTCGACACGAGTGCGGCACCTAAACTGCCGTGTCAGAGCAACTTAGGTGTATAGTACCAAAAAATGATTTAAGTTATGTATACGGATAGTGTAAAGATTATTTTTTAAACTGACTAACATGGTAAATAAAACCACATAAATTGAATCAGAAGAAGTATGAGAAATAAACTTTATACAACAATAACAACTTAGTAAAATTCCACCAGTGGGGTCTGGGGAGGGTAGAGTGTACGCAGACCTTATTCCTATCCTAGAGGGAGTAGAAAGACTGTTTCCGGGAGAACCTCGGCTCAGAGACAATAAATCTGCAACAACAAAACTTTATGTTCCTTGCAAATTTGATAGTTGAATAACATTACTTACCTGTAACTAGGGGTGTTCATGGTTCGATTTGGATCGGTTTTTCCCTAAAAAGAAACCAAACCAAATAAGTCGGTTTTTCAAATATTAGAACCAAACCAAACCAATTAAGTCGGTTTTTCTCGATTCGGTTTATGTCGGTTTTTCGGTTTTTTCGGTTATTTGTCGGTTTTTTCTTAAATATAAGACATACACTACCAAACACATATTCCGGCGACCACATTTTCAACGTGACACTATCAAATCAATTATTCTTTGAGAAATCTATTATTTACTAAAATATATTGATGATAATTGAATCAAATAGCGATGAATAATTTAAGGACTCAATTAAAAATAGTTTGTTTTAACTTGAAATGGATTCTTACACTTAACAAAAGAAAACTACCAATCAAACTAGAAATATAAAGGTAAAGAATTGTATTAAAAGTGCAACGGATTAACATTTACCATAAAAATTTTGAAACTTTGTATAAAAATATACATATATATAGGTGTAATAATAAATTTGAAATATCTACTCCTATAATCGGTTTGCTCGGTTTATTTTTATTAAAACCAAAACCAAACCAAATTTGATAGGTTTTTAAAATTCAAAACCAAAATCAAACCAAACCAAAAAGTACCGGTTTTTTTGATCGGTTTGATTTGGTTCGGTTTTTGGAGTTTTTATGAACACCCCTACCTGTAACAGCCGGCTCCCCGAATAGCTCTCCTGCTGGAACACCAAGTTCTCCTGGTACAAAAGCTTCAGGTACATTATAATCCTTTAAATTATTTGTGAAGATCAAATTTTGGTTTAACTCGAAATACTTAACTTACATATACAATATCGCGTGACAGGGCGTGGATCTGTACCATCAACAGAAGGCGGTTCCAATGATGCAACTTTAACCAAGATGATCGGTCTTCCTTTCTTCATCCTTCTCTTCATTAGTTCTTATGCTTCAGCATTCACCACCGCGTAACTCGGGACTATCAGGGATCATATCCGAAGTCAATTTTCCCGCAGAGACTTGAGTCTTTATTGTATTTTTTCCTGGATGTGCAGCCCTTCCCCGGAACTTGAGTGAACGCAAAATGCTTTGTGCACGGGACTGTCCATTGTTGTGATATGTATTAGCTAGTTTTTCTTTGCATAAATAAATTTGTCGGCCTTATTTGAAATAGCGGGAGTCAGCGGTCCAGCTTCTGTTTGTGATAATTGCTTGCTTTCTTATTTCACCTGCTGCAACAAAAGCACGATATCAGGATTAATAGGCAGTCAAGTACTATAAGCGGATTTCAGAATAGAAGCTATTTTACTGCTAGGCTAGGGTATTGTGTACGCAGACCTTACCCCTACTCTGGGATAGAGAGGTCTGTATGGGGTCAAATTTGATCGTCAGCATCCCTACGCCAGAGGGTACGCCCAGTGAGTGTACGCCGACTAACGTAGCGGGTACGACTCGGACGCGGGGACAAAAGCGATATCGTTTAGGACTCAGTGTCTTCACTAGGGAGACGTAACCCGTCTTTGTAACTTTTTGATTCTTTCGAGGAAGGTCTCTTATTATATAAAGGAGACCTTCACATTGTAAAAGGGGATTCTGATCTAATACAACTCTCTGATTTTCTGTCTTTCTCTCTCTATCTCTACCTCAAACGAACATATCTTGATAAGTTCATATTATCACTTTACAATACTAGATCTACAACAATAATATCATCTTTGCATCTCTAGGTTTATTATATTTGATTGCGATTTACCCTTTTCTTACTTTTGATTGTTTTCTAGCTTACAAAGTATATTGCTAACTTTTGAGCCAAACAATTTGACGCCATCTGTGGGGATTTCCAGAATCAAAATCATAGTATCCACCTAGAGAACAACCAACTACCATTCTCTAAACCACACAAACACAAAAGATGGCTGAGAATGACCCAAGATCAAAAGCTATATTGGGTGTCACTACCAATCTCCTTGGCCCTCTCAACGAGGCCAGTGACGATGGCATCCTGAATGCAACCCCTAGTATCACATCGGGTGCAGAGATCTCACCTTCCCCATCCGAAGATCTAACGATCTTGCACGAAAAGGGAGCTTCCACATTTGCGGCTACAGAAGCACCCTCAGCGGTCAAGAAGCTACTGGAAAGATGGCTAACAAGCACTCTGAGTGGCTTGGTTGAGAGGTCACCACAAAGTAACATCAGGTGTACACCAACAGTAGATACCACTGCTGTCGCGGGCGAACCGGAAGTTGCACCAGCAAATAATGAACCCGTCGAGACACAGACCAACGATGGCACGCTAACAGCCATCCTAAAGAAGATGGAAGAAATGAAAAATGAAAACAAGGCGCTCCGCGATCAGATGAAGGAACATCAGGAGAGGGTCGACAAGATCCCCGGTGCCCCCAAGAGTCTAACAAAACGCGACGTGGGAAGGTTCGTTGAACAACCATACACCGAAGAAGCTGCCCCTCACTCCACCCCAAAAACCTTCAAGATGCCACCCTACTTGAGGGTATATGAACGAAACCACTGATCCCGAGGATCATCTGATCCACTACGTCACCGCTGTGAAGGGCAACGACCTATCAAAGGAACAGGTACCATCGGTACTGCTGAAGAAGTATGGCGAGACTTTGACAGGAGGGGCTTTAACATGGTACTCTCAGCTACCAGCTAAGGCAATATCAACATTCGAGGAAATGGCGGATAAGTTCGTCACAGCCCACGCAGGCACGAAGAAAGCGGAGGCCAGGGTCAACGTCATCTTCACCATCAGGCAAACTACAGGAGAAGGACTCAGGGACTTCCTAGCAAGGTTTAACAGAGTAAGGATGGGTCTACCAAACGTATCGGAAGGTATGGCAATCGCCGCTTTCCAGAACGGGCTAAGCAGGGATGGTTCAAGGGCAACCAAGAAGTTGCTGAGCCGCCTCATGAAATATCCCCCTACCACATGGGAGGAAATCCACAACGCCTATTGCGTTGAGGTACGAGCGGACGAGGATGATCTTAATGGGCCGACCCAACGGCTAACAGCGATACATCCAGAAACGAGGAGAGATCGACGAAACGAAGGACGACGAGAACAACTCTCTCGCTCCAACAGAGATCGACATCAGCCGTACACCAGATCCTCCCAACTGCCACCAAGGCATACAGAAGCGCTACAGCACCATGTCGCCCCACTTCGAAACGAAAGAGGTACGCCTCCTTTATTATCCGCCCATAACTTTTGTGTGTCTCCTTCAGAAATAGTGTACGCACTGGAGAAGCTGGGCACCAAAGTGCAGTGGCCGCAAAAGATGAAATCAGACCCCGCCACAAGGAAATCAAACGTCGTGTGTGAGTTCCATCAGGAACGGGGGCACAAGACCGAAGACTGCATAAGCCTACGGCAAGAGGTGGTCAGGATGCTGAACCAGGGATACCTGAGGGAATTACTCAGTGACAAAGGGAAAATCAACTTTGCACACGGACGAGAACAACTCCATGGGCCGCCGAAGCCGCCCTCCCCAGCACGCACGATAAACATGATCGTCGGAGGCGGCAACGACTTGGCGATCAATCATGTCAAATTCACCACCACGCACAAACTAAAGCGGACCATCGCCCATGAACAGTATGACGACTTCGAAGATAGCATCACCTTCGATAAGTCTGATGCCGACGGTTTGTCTTTCCCTCATTACGATGCTTTAGTTATCACTTTACGTATCGCTGATACAGATGTTAAAAGGATCATGATCGATGAAGGAAGTGGCACCTGTATTATCCACCCAAGGGTCCTCGTACGAATGGGACTCGAGGATAGGGTAATACCGCGCTGCATAACACTAACCGGTTTTAACAATGCAGTGGAACGGACGTCCGGAGAAATAGCACTGCCGTCTTAGCAGGAGGAGTCACGCTGGAAACAACTTTCCACGTGATGAACCAAGAAACGGCGTACAACGTCATCATAGGACGCCCGTGGATACACGCCATGCGAGCGGTCCCTTCAAGCCTTTACCAAGTGATCAAATTCCCTACCCCATGGGGAATATTCAGTATTTGAGGCGAGCCACACACCGCACAAGAGTGCTACAAAATAGCCCAAGATTGCGCCCACACCCAACAACTAAAGGGGGCGAGTGCGGAGGCATAGCAATTAGCCGTGTCGGGGACTAAGGTCAACCCGACAACGGACGCCATCATAGACCCTGACGATGTGGAGGCCTGTAAAGCGACGGTCGAAGATCTCAACCCAGTTCAATTGGACGAAACCAATCTTACGAAGAAAGCCTATATCGGGCACGGTCTCGCCAACCAAAGTAAGTATCGTGACTTCTTAACTAACCATGCAGATTTGTTCGCCTTTTCTCATTCAGATATGCCGGGGATCCCGCGAGACATCGCTACCCACAAGCTGAATGTCGATCCACTACATCCGCCCGTGCGACAGATGAGGAGAAAATTCAATGCCGCTATCAACGAAGCGATTAGTGGGGAAGTAGATAAGTTACTCGCCAACGGCTCCATCAGGGAATCAAAATACCCCCAGTGGGTCGCCAATGTCGTCATGGTCAAAAAGAAAAACGGCAAGTGGAGAATGTGTGTGGATTTTACTGATCTGAACAAAGCATTCCCAAAGGATTCATTCCCATTACCCCACATCGACCAACTGATCGACGCCACTGCAGGACATGAACTACTGAGCTTTCTAGACGCCTACTCTGGCTACAATCAGATCATGATGGCCAAGGAGGACCAAGAGAAGACAACTTTCATCACCCACCAAGGGACTTACTGCTACAAGGTAATGCCCTTCGGGCTCAAAAATGCAGGGGCTACGTACCAGAGACTGGTCACCAAAATGTTCAAAGAGCAGCTAGGCAAGACTATGGAAGTCTATATCGACGACATGCTGGTAAAGTCGACAAGAGAAGAAGACCACATCGACCATCTGAAAGAAGCCTTCGAGATATTGAGAAGGTACGGAATGAAACTGAACCCCGAGAAATGCGCCTTCATCGTGGCCTCAGGAAAATTCTTAAGGTTTCTCGTATCACAACGAGGTATCGAAGTCAATCCAGATCAGATCAAGGCGATAGACGCAATTCCCGAGATACTGAACAGCAAAAAACAGGTGCAAAAACTGACGGGGCGAATAGCCGCCTTGTCTAGGTTCATCTCAAGATCCTCCAATAGATGCCATAAGTTTTTCAATGTGCTGAGAAAGGACAATGGGTTATAGTGGAATGAGGAATGCGTCGAGGCCTTAAGAAAATTGAAAGCGTACCTATCTTCGTCGCCACTGCTGGCCAAAGCAAATCCAGGCGAGCCCCTGCTGGTATACTTGGCCGTATCCGAGGTCGCCATCAGCGCAGTCCTAGTTCGTGAAAACGAAGGTACACAATCTCCTATTTACTATATTAGCAAAACCTTAGTGGACGCCGAAACACGGTATCCACACCTTGAAAAATTAGCTTTGGCATTGGTCGTAGCTTCACGGAAGCTCCGACCCTATTTCCAATGCCACCCCATAAAAGTAGTGACAACCTTCCCTTTGAGAAGTATCCTACACAAGACTGAGTTATCAGGCAGACTCGCCAGATGGGCCATAGAGCTCAGTGAGCACAATATCTCATATCATCCCAGAAACGCCATCAAGTCGCAAGTACTTGCCGACTTCATAGCCGATTTCAGCGCAGAGATACTACCAGAGGCGGAACTGGAGGCACGTCGTGCCCCCTCCAACGCCGACCTATGGACTCTTTACACTGATGGCGCCGCTAATGCCTCGGGATCTGGACTGGGACTCGTTCTCGAGGTCCCCACGGGCGAAACAATTTGCCAGTCCATACGATGCCCCGAGATGACTAACAACAAAGCCGAGTACGAGGCTGTCATTGCAGGTTTGAAACTAGCCATCAAGTATGGAGCTCGACGACTCGTTCTCCATTGCGACTCTCAACTCGTGGTGAACCAGGTCACCGGGACTTACCAAATCAAGGAGCAGAGGTTACAAAAATACCGGTCAGAAATTCACAGGTTAATAACCGAGTTCGACGAGTGCCTCTTCGAACAAGTTCCGAGAGCACGAGACGTTGAAGCAGACGGCCTAGCGAAACTGGCCGCAGCCACTAAAAACTTCAACAAAGAAAGCGTGCTCACCCTTCTCCATTCAGCCAT